CTCCGCAGAGCACGTTGGTTGTGGTTTAAGAAACCTTCATTTTCTTCTTCTTCTCTGTTTTTGCCTTCTCTTTCTTTGTGCTTGCATGAGAAATCCACTCTAACATCATGATTGCATCACCTCACACACGTCTTTCCTGTGGGCATGAAATCGGCACAACAGCTGGGCTGTCAGAAGGTGTCGTTTTTGCAAAAAGGAAACAGGGGAATAACTGGCTGCGCAGGCTTTCAGAGGATCCCCCAGACACATTGCCGCCTGCCCCCCTCTCCTGCTGCTCTACAATGAACTGCTGAACTCCAGATGGGGCTGACTCTTTGACTTATTAAAGATTTACCAGGTGAGTTTGGCATCATTCTCTTGACCTTCAAAGCTGCAAGATGAGGGGGGCGCTGCACCAAGATGCCAAGCATTTGAGGACAGGAAGCAACCAAACGACTTTGTTGCATGGACTGTGTGGGGTGGCTGTCAACAGAGAGAAAGCACTATCATTTGTAGTAAATTACAAACCCACGCAGAGTTACACAAGGCAGCCTAAATCTAGTTGGTGTGACAGCTCCTTCAGCTGAACGCACACCTGCCAAGAAAAGAGCACGCATGCCCACACATGCATCTCACTCGTATCCACGTGCCAATAAAAGCAACAAAACACACCGTTAGACCAATTTCACCAAATTTACTCAAATAGGGTATTCATTTTTTGCAACAACGGGACCATCTTTAGAAAATCATTGTAAAAAAGAAATCACAACTCTTTACAGTGAACATACCTTAGAGTTTAGGGACTTTTCAAAATTTCAAACCAAGTCAAGAGTTAAAAGAGAAGTCTTTGTAGCAGTGATAAATAGCAGCAGCTAAAATCATGTGATGTGCGTTATTACCTCTGACAGGCCTGCTCTCAGGAGACAGCGGGCTGGTATTTTGGAGGGATAAATATAACAAGTGAGAATGGATGGAAAATCTCCACTGAATATTTGGCTGACGTGGAGCCAGATCTGAAAAGTCAGTTGTCTTTGATTTGTCAGCGCAGTCATGGACCCGCCACAGGCCGTCTGGGAGTTCTCCTGTGCAATAGGTTTTATGTAACCAGAGTACAAGAGCTCGGGGGAGGATTCACTGTAGGCGTTGGGAAGAGGATGTAATGCGCGGACCTGCCAGTTAGAGCTGAATCAGGTGGGTCTGAGTGAATGAGGTGTTTTCCTTTCAAATCGGAGCTCAGATGTAACGGCTTGAACATAAAAGCAATGGCAGAACTTTTGTCCTGTGTTCAGTATAACCGCTCATATATGGTGGGAAATTAAGAAAACACCAGCAAATGGAAAAAACGCTGCAAAAGCAAACAAAACACAATGGAAACAGAAAGAAAACAATCCGAAACTAAACGGAAGTGACAATAACGTGAGGGAACAGCGGTGGAATTTACAAGCTAACAGTATGATATGAATCATGTAATTAAAACACGCATTACCTCCATCTTTTTCTCCCTTACGACGCCAATGAGACCCTCTCTTCTTTTAAGCGTATCTCAGTGCGATCCTTCACGTTTTGGTTTCTGTCATCTCCGCAGTCGCTCCGTCCTGTTGTTGTGTCCCCAAAAACACTTCTGTTGTGTTTTGTGAGATTTTGTTCAATTTTATTCTCATTTATTTGTGGGGTTTTTTTTCAACTTCTGTTGAGTCTTGTGTCCTTTTACAGTATTTTTCTATTTGCTGGTGTTTTCTTAAGGTGCAGTTCGTTTGACCTCTCGAGGTCACTGTACTCATTCATGTAGTAGTTCAACTTTTGCAAGGAAACAACAAAAGCCTTGACTTTGTGCAATGATGACGCAAACAGGTCCCTTCACAACTTCTAATTAGGGCGACCTTTGAGCTGATGACACCTAGGGTAAATCTGACAACAGCCGGGGTTTGGAAAGACATTTCATACCGAGACCATGATACTGAATAACACAACACATCTTGATACAGACCTACATATTTTTATATATGACTTTACTTATGGTGAAGATGGAACACTTTCTAGGATTCAGATTTGCTTGGAAAGCCCCTGGAAAGCACCACCGGAGGTGCTCCCCATGTGTAGTGTTTTTATAAAGTAACCGAATAAAATCGCTAAATTAGAACATGTGCAGGAGACAAGACACTGATGTTCCCAGCTGTAGCCCTGTCCCTGTTTGACACCCAGTTAAAGGGTTACACTATAACTTAAAATGACTCCCAGAGAGACTCCATGTTTAAACTCATTTACTTCAACTCATGAATTTATTACCTCGGACTTTAAATGTGGTTATCTAAGGATTCAGGATGTGAAGCAGCTGCCTGTTGTGTCCTGCTAGGAGAGCTAATAAACATGAACTGAAACGGTCCATTAAAACCAGAAGAGCCAGAAATAATGTACATGTTAAGAAAAAGTGCTGAGTGCTAATAATTTGCTCTTACATTGCATTATAATTTCCCCCTGCTAACCAGCCACTTCACTAAATAGACTTTCTCTGTTGCTTGTTACTGATAATATCAAATCAGCCGACTGCAAAAAGGCAGACATGTTTGAGACAGCAACAGGAAATCCGAATACGAGCATCAGAATGGAAAATAAAGGGTTTTCCCACATAAGCGTCTCTGAGGTTTACAGATAATGGTCCAAAAAAGAGAAAATCTGTGGATGAAAACGCTTTGTTGATGCCAGAGGTTAGAGGAGAATGGCCACACTGCTTTGAGCTGATAGGAAGGCACAAGAGCATCTTTCAATGCACAACACAAATAGAGGCTACAGTTCACACAGCCTCACCAAAACTGGGAAACAGAAGATTGGAAATGTGTTGCCAGGATGTACGTGTATGTATACATAGTACAGAATTCAGAGCAACAAAGTTCTTGCAAGTTGTATAGTCATTTAAATCTTTTGCCAGCATGTAACATGACAGCATGCTGAAAAATCACAGGTATGGCCCTTTAAACCCTACAGCGTTCCTTGAGTGGAGTGGACGGTGGCTGGATGTGGTTCTGGAGAGGTGGAAAGCACAGCGTAAAAGCCAAGTGGAGCCTCGGGCAAGACACACCATGCGCTCATGCTCCAGTTAACCTGAGTGCACCAAAGGTTAAGTGAGCTATAATTTAACAGGAACTTCTGAAATATATGCATAGGCAGGGGGAGATGACAAACCTATATCTCACCGGTCACATGTATTCTGAACTGTCACGTTTCATTTTGAGGTCTGAAGGTGGGCAACAGCGTTGTCTTTGCAGCAGAGCCGATTTCTAAAGCGCACAGAGCAAAGCAAACTCCGGTTGCTGCTTCTGAAATGAGGCTACGCACAGAGTAATCGTTTGGCCCGACCCCCGGGGACTGTGGGGAGACACTCTGACTTGTGAGTCCATTTTACCCCCGGCAACATGGTTCAGGCCACTGACTAGAAGCACTGCTTCAATGCCCACAGTGCTCTCAGAGGAAGTGACCTCAATACATCCAATAAGGCTGCTCGCAGGAGCGCGACAGCTGCAGAAGATTGGAGACACACCAGGTTTCTTATCTTAGATGCTGCTTAAATGAGAAAGTACATTGTTTTGGTGGTGTAAATGTCACAGGAAGAACAGCTCAAAGTTTTCTCATGCAGTCGCTATCTAAATGACATCTGCAGAGTAAAGAAGAAAAGTCGACTGGCTTGAATAATTTTGGATTGTAGTGGAAAAAATAAGAATTTAAAGGCAATGAATAGAAAATAGCAACAAAATTCTAATTGTGTCTACGTGCTAAAATCCACAGTAAAGAATTAATGATTTTATTGATAATAAGAGTCATTTGTAAAATGCAGACTACATAAGATGGTTGTTTGGGTTTGTGAATTCACACTGTTCACTACAAAGATGAAGCCTGATTGCAGCCACACACTGCGAAGGTGGCCCAACCTCAGCTCTGTCATCTGATAGTGAAGTGATGTTTTTGTTTTTTAACTTTTGGATGGACACACTTACACGTTTTGCGTGTACTGATTTTATCAATGAACAGCTGCGTACCTGCAAAACTGCTATTTGTGCAAATCTTTTTCTATTGGCTCACTAAGTGTGGTTCAGTCACATATCACAGGTCGCGATGCTTTTATGCATTTGAATGGATTCCAACAAAATGTTTTTCTCACGTTCACTTACGGCCTTTTTTTGCTTCCATACAGCACCTGTTTAGTCCTTGTAGTCGGGTCAGTTGTGAACATGTGTCTATAAATAAAGAGCCAAATGTTTCACAGGAGATGCAACATATTGGGCTTTATCAGGCTGAGACAAATGTGCCTCTAGATCCTGCTGAAGTTATTACATCGTGAAAAAAGTAACTGTAATATTGCTTGTGTCCGTTTTGTGTGGTTAAAAATCTTTTAAGTAGCATTACCAACACTTTTCAGCAAACACCAACAGCTGCAAGTTACTGTAAGTCATTCATGCAGGCTACAAGAGTCTTCCCAGGGTCTAAGGGGGAAGATCAGTGAGGGAGGTTTAAAATATCCCATGTTCACTGCTGAGAGGATAAGGATCTGGATCTGCGTGGTTTCTTTCAGGAGCTTTCCCCCTTTTACTGCTGCTGTCACAATGAGGTAGTGCTGTAGCTGATAAGACAGAAATCAGTCCTTCACCTATGGCCTCTCCACAGGCGGCAAGCAAATTTTAAGGCTCTTTGCACTGTGGAGATTGTTGAGGTAACATACTGAGCTGCAGGAGCTGATTTGTGCTGATTAGCGGGCCCATGTGACTGTGGGCACCGGGTCCAGGTGATTGTGTGGGATCCTGCATTTGGCACTTGTTACTGCGGTTTTCCACTGAGATGTTAATCATCCAGCATGCGCCAGAGGCATGATTAAATGTCACGCAGCTCCCTCAGCTTTGGCCCTCTCACTGTGAATAAACCTCTCTCACCCACAGGCAGACAGGGCCTGGAGCCTGCAGCTGCAATTTGAACTGCCCGACCTATGCAGTGCCACAGCTCCCCCTACAGGCCAAAGAACAAAAGACAACAACAACAACAAAATTCTCTTTATTTGACGTTACTCTTGATCAAAAGAGGAAACTGTGCAATCACCAGGTGATGCACAGACATAAATGCATATAGAAAGTATACAAAAGATAAAAAGATTTTAAAATAATGTAAATGACATAAATTAAGACAGAAGAAAGACAGAAAAAAGAAAGGATTGTCAGAAAAACTGAGGATTTTTCTCCAAGCTTCACATCCCAGTGCACCTCAGATTGCAATGGAGGAGTTTGCCGACCCCCCACTCAGAGGTCAGAGCCTGAACTTCAACAGGTAACAGACATCGATGAGCAGTTAGTTTCATCAAACCACAAACCTTCATGAAGCTGTTTCTACCTCTTCATGATTTTACAGTAGAAATGTTTTTGAGAGTTTTTGCTTTGTGTTGTCGGCTTTTTGTTCATCCCTAAAAACTATGAGACTGTACACGTCTCCTCATTAGGGCACAAATTTGTGTTGGTGTGTTTATGGTGTAACGCAAAAATAATGCAACTAGTAGTGCAGCAAATTACTTTCTCAGGCGATTACTTTAGTAACTGTAACTTCAATATGTGATCAATAAAATATCTAGTCATGTGTCAAATGGCATGGTTTGCACACTTCCTGGAAGGATGGGCAGAACTGGTCATTTAAATTTTAAAATGAAAGCTACAGGTTTCTGTAGCTTCAATGTTTGGTGGTACGTTCTAAAAACGATCATTTATGATTTGTAAGTTGCATGTAAATATTTTACATTATTCTGAAAGTCTTTCAAGCGCACCAATGGATCTTTTTTCCCCTCCACATCTGCAGATGAAATTCTTCTGTTGTATTCCCGCTATTTAGACAGTGGCCCTTCCACGACGCGCTATTTCTTCAGCGTTTATCTGTTTAGCGCACTCTTCCAGGTCTGTTATGACCTTAGACGCTTCAGGTCGGTCTTCGGGATTCATACTCAGCATTGATCTGATGGTGATGCACTGTAGCATAAAAAGAGCAATAAAATATTTATTAGAAACAATCTCTCATTTGCACCATTTCTAGAGCTCAACTTCAACAACATTTTCCACTAAGTGTATATCTTTTAAATCCAGAGTCTTATTTCCCTAAATATGATGATCATCCCTTTCTGATTTTGTTCTCATCACCATCAGATGTTTGAACCTGAACGTCCTGATGCTCCACAGACTTTCCTTGCTTCTGTGACAACTAAAAAAAGGCCTTTTCTAATGATTAATTAGCCTTTCAGACACTGGAATACTGGAGAGGTGTTTGCTGGAAATTGTCTTCTGTTAGCTGATTTAAATAATCCATCTAAAATCAAACACATACATTTCTAAGTGATCCTAAAAATTTGAGAGGTTTTGGATCACAGCCTTTCCTCTGCCAGCACATATGTCGTGGGAAATGCATACTGAAATTTGCTAATACACTGAGAAAACGTTGATGTACCTCCGAGATAAAAGTGGATGCAAATTCTTGGGGAAGCTTCTGTTTTCTGATGTCTTCCCATGTCTGAAATTAAGAAATATAGTTCAGGAAATTTCTAATGAATAGTTAAAGACAAAACATTTGACCTTCTACAGATTATGAGCTACCATGCACAGCATTCTGATTGTGACTCAACAACCTACCTTGTACTTTTCATAACGAGTGGAGAATTTCCAAAGAAGCTCAAAGTAGATCAGCCCCAAAGCAAATATGTCAACCTTCCTGCCATAGTTCGTCTCGCTCTCCTGTGTTAAAGCAGTTAAACAGCATTAATAACAAGAAGCACTGAGCGCACAAACCTCCACCAAGGCAGCTCACTCTCTGGTCAGTGTTTACATTTAAGGGAATAGTACTGTATTTTGCATATAGAAATTCTGTAAGCATGGTTAATAAGTATTAATAGGTATTGATTTGTAAATAATTGGACATGAATAACCTGAGCTTACAGAGCTCTAGACTAACTTTTCCCATGGTTGCACTGTGCGCCTAACTTTTTTTCTTCTTAGGTCCACCAACACAAAAGTTAGGCACACCCCAATCTTTCAACCGCATCGATTAACACTGCAGTTTTTACATGTGCACTTTTTTTTGGGGGAGGATTTGCTGTCCATACAGGCAATATTAATTTGTAACAATCTTGTCAACACAAAGTTCTTTTTTTGGAGCACAGTTCTACAAGAAAGATAAGTTACTGAAAAAGTGCTTGTGCTTAAAGTGCTTTGGCACTCTTTGGCAGTATTGCAGGTAATGTTAAACTTAATCATCATCTCGGCCTCCTCTGACGACCTGTTTCGCTGCTGCCTGCAGTTTAAAGGCAGTAGGAAGAGGGGACACTTGGGCAGTGCATTTATCGCGGCATAGAATGTGTTTTCAATCATTCTTTTCATCTTTTGTCATTACCCAACAGCTACATCCACTTCTGTCGGGCTTAGGCTACCCACTAGGGCTGGGTATTGTCACTGATTTCTATAATCGATATAATCTATAATCGTAACTGAGGATAAAACACAGAAAACATGAAAGAGATTTTCCTGGCCTGACTTTTTATATCAGATAACCACCTTAAAAAATATTTTGCAAGCTAAAAGTTTTTCAATTTGGTATAATTTCTATTATATAATATATATATATATGTAATATTATATATTTCTATTATGTATTAAACAGCAAAATTAAGGATTTCTTGTCGGAGGTCATTTTGGGAGAAAAGAGAAAAACAGCGGCCGACAGTGCTGTAAACAACGGTAAACTGGTGTGGAATAAGCAAACGAATAATACAGGAAACAGAGATTTGAGATGGGAAACTGTTCTTGAAGTACATTTTGGTCGAAGAGGGACAAAACCTGCAGCTCAGAATCAGTGAGCTGACGACTTTCAACCCCGACGGGTTCGTGCCATCGGGTGAGAAAGCCGTCATCTCACTGATACGTCGGCTCCACGCTCTGTGTTTACGTCTTTGTGTGGAATCTGTTTACTTGCTCTCATTTACTATTTTATCTGTTTGGTGGTTGTTCAAATAGTTTTGTGAGCTCCTGGCTTTTCTGGCAAAAAACATTAATATTTAAAAATTGATTCAGGATTTAATGAATCAACATCGCGTTATTCAAGCTAAAAATCCACTTTAATTGGAAAATCGACTATTGAAACCCAGCCCTACTACTCACCTGTCTATCCACCTAAACTTTCCAACGTACACACACATAGGCTGAAAGGAATATCTGGACCAGGACCAATCAGAGGTCCTGTCCCTGACTATCTCTGATTGGTTTAGACCACGATAGGGGCATAATGTGCGTTTGTTGTTGATTACATGGAGACTTTCAGAGTAGCAGGGACTTTTTTTTCTTTTTAATCGAATGGCTGGATGATTTTTCTTTAGTTGCATCATTGTTGCATCATTGAGAAATTAGAGAAATTAGAAATTAGAGCCTATTAGGCTTATTATGTAATAATACAATTTTCTAACTAACTAAGCAGCTCATCTCTTTTTCTTGACGTGTTCTTTAAAGATATAATATGTTGTGGGGTCAATGTGAAAGAAAGGCAGATGTAAAATGCAAAAGTGAGGTCAAAGGGTTAAATGTGATATATTTGGATGTAAACTATAATGTGATATTTAGAAGCCACATATACCAGTATCATTTTCCTAAATGGAAAACGCATAAATAAACAGTACAATTTTAAGCAACGTTTTAAATATTTTTAAAGACATTTTACAAAAGTCTGACCTCATTTGACTTTGGAGAAGGAATCGGAGGTCCCAAGTAATGGGTTATTTAGAATCTCTATATACACTATATTGCCAAAAGTATTAAACCACTTATCCAAATCACTGAATTCCGACGTTGCAGTAACATCCTGAGGCACACAGTGCACACAGGTTGCTGACTTTCTGCAGAGTCAATTTCTACAGAACTCCAAACTTCATGTGGCCTTTAGATTAGCTTAAAATCAATGCGGCTTCATGGAATAAGTTTCCATGGCTGAGCAGCTGCATCCAAGCCTTACATCACCAGGGACAATGTAAAGTGTCAGGTGCAGTGGTGTAAAATACGCCATCACTGGACTCTAGAGCAGTGGAGATGTGTTCTCTGGTGTGACGAAGCACACCTTGGTGGTTTCCAGGAGAATGGTACTTGTCTGGCTGCACTGTGCCAAGTGTAAAGTCTGGTGGAGGCGTGGGGTTGGTTTTCAGGAAGTTGTTCTAGTGAAAGGAACTCCTAATGCTTCAGCATAATAAGAGACTTTGGACAATTTTATGCTCCCAACTTTGTGGAAAATGTTTGGGGATAAACCCTTCCTGTCCCAACACCAGTGAACAAAGTAAGGCCCATTAAGACATGGATGAGCATGTTTTGTGTGGAAGAACTTGACTGGCTGGCACAGAGTCCTGACCTCAACCCCCATACAAAGATGAGAGCGGTAAATGTGAGCCAGTTTTCAATAAACACACTCTTATAAACACACTGCTTGTCCAGGTGCAAAGAATGGCTTCATATCAAATCTTATAAATTAAGAATTGGATATTGCTCAAGTTCATATGCGAGTCAAGGCAGAGGAGCAAATACTTTTGGCAAATATATTGCATGATTTCCTATATGCCCATATGTTGTCCATAAAAACATAGTTTTAATAAACAGCTCTATGGCAATATCATCAATTGAACGTGCGATCACTCTATTGAACTTTGAGAGGTCAGAGGTCGAGAATGATTTATTTTAAATCTTTTCACAATACTTTATGTTGACGATACACACCACACTTATAAGAATCATAGTTTCTAAGTTACAAGGCTTTTTTAAATACATCGCAATAAATCATAAACTTGAAGAACTTGGTGGATGTATGCCACATTTTAATGGATTGTTAAGATGACCCCACTCTACACGTCTACAAAGAAATTAGCATAATAATGTCGACGGACTCACCTGTTCAGGAGCCATGTATGATGGTGTTCCCTTATTTACAGTTCTCTTCATCGGGGACTTGTCATCGTCGTCGTTCTCAGCAGTGACCAGTCCAAAGTCTCCGATTTTTACTTTTGTGTCCTGCCCAAACAGGATGTTGGCAGGCTAGCGGGACGAAGCAAAGCAAACATGTGACCAATTGTTACATCCTGTGAGGCTGTGGGAGTGTGTGGGTGTGGTGTTGCAATAAACAGTAATGAGTGAGAATCTCTGGGTTTCTGTGGATTTCAGTAAAAGAGTAAACTGAATAATTTTAGAAAAACAAAAAGTCACATACGAACATTACACCTTGTTGTCAGGTTTTAACCTGTACACACACACAGCCCTGTGCGCTACCTGTGGTTAGCCCGTTATCTGCTTCGTCTGGCTCACCTTCAGGTCTCTGTGGATGAGCTTCTTGGAGTGAATGTACTCGATACCACTGACCATCTGCTGAGCAATGGTCAGACTTTCTTCTCTTCTCTTGGAGTTTGATTTCTTCGTATACCAGTCTTCTATCCAGTCTAGAAGTGTTTTGGTGTCACACAGTTCCATCCGAATGTAGAGGCACTTCTTGGGTGAACCAGTGGAAGACCTAAAACAGGATGAATGATCAAACAGTGAAATGATACAAAAGAAGTGAAGAATTACTTTCACAAGTGGACGAGTCTTACTGTTTACTGCAGCTTTCGTCAGTGCTGTCCGACTGGTATCCTGAATCCTCCATCCAACACGAGAAGTATCTAATGATATTAGGGTGCTCAAGGTCTGACAACGCCTTGGCTTCTCGTAGAGCTTTTCTAATTCAAAGAGGGGGGAAAAACCCTGAATCATACGACTTTACTATAACTATAACAATATAAACCAATAAAGCACGCAGTGAAATCATGCAGTATTACTGAACACTTCACTTACTCGTTCCAGCGGATGATCTTTATTGCGTAATACTTTTCCACCAGTTTATCTTTTACCATGACTACTCGACCAAAAGCTCCTTTACCCAGCTTCTCTACGTAGTCAAACTGTGAATGACTGTTGACAGAAATCTTTTATTAAATATCAATTTCTTAAAGCAATTGAACAGAATGTGATCATTTTGATAATATTGCATTCTCATATTTTTATTTTCCATACCTGAAGATTTCTGAATCAGCTGACCTATCACTGGGAGAGCTTGCTGAACTCTTTTCTTCAGGACACAACATATCCTTGACAAAACAATACAATAGAATGCATAGTGTAAAAAAAGAGAAAGAAAGAAAAGACACCAAAGCATGTAGCATGAATTAAATCAATGAACTTTCATTGTTCACGTCATTGAACTACTAAGCTGCAGTTCACAGTATCTTTTTTAAAATACTGTGAACTGCAGCTTAGTAGCATGTCTGAATAGATGTTCACATATTTTGGGCTTCATATAAGCTTTTTGTTGCTCTGCAAATTTGAGTAAATACAGAAGATTTTGCTAGAAAATATAAAGCAACAGTAAATTAAAGTAAATCAATATTTACTGCATATAAATAGCTAGCTAATAAATGTTGGGTTACTTAACGTAATCCCTGATTCTCTGATAATGGAGTGAGATGTTTCACTATGGGAATCACCTTGGTGTGACTAACTATGGAAGCTCCAATGACACCCTGTCTGTCCATGATAGATCTGTCGAGCCGTGCCCCTCCTGACTCATTCTCAGCAGATTTCTTTTGGTCCCCAAGCAAAGGATGAAAGTGCTGGTAAAACACTGTTATCAAAGAACCAGGGATTACGTTAAGTAACCAACCACTAATTTAATAGTCGACGTGTCTGAAGCTTTGTAAGATCCTGAAAAACGCAGGAATAACTAGTAGGATTTAAAAGTGTAATAACATACTGAAACATAAGATGGCAGCACTGCATGTACAAGGATGCCAGCTGCCACTAAACGCGAAAGAAGAAAAAGAAGCAGCAGTCTCCGGTATCATAGCTGTGTCCAAATTCAGGGGCCGCATCTTTCGGAGGCCGCATTTGTAGGCCGATTACGTTATAGTGACACAACGAAGACTGTCCAAATTTGAAGACTCCTCCAAATGCGGCCTTCATTTCCCCAGATTTGAAGGATGGGTCAGGTGTATCCTTCATGGCCCAACCTATCCCAGAATTCATAGCGTGGCCCAGCCAATTCCAACAATGGCGTCAGCTACTTCGTTTAAATATTAATCTTTCTGGGTCACAAAATAAACTTTTAAGATATTTTCAAGCAAGAATGTAAGTCGTTCGGATCATTTAAAAATGTTGGTGTTTGGCTTTTTTCAGTGTTTTATTAGCTGCTGAGTAAATCGGTTTGGCTGAGATTAAAGTTACAGTTTTCTCACAGCTAAATAAACATCAAACAGAAAACTGATTAAACAGAAGTGTGAGATGATCGAGAATTTACTCCAGTGTCCTGGATATATTTTAGATAACTGAGTTTATTAAACTCCACTGAGACAATCTGCAAATTTCATTAAAAGTTTAATAAACTATCATGTTGTCTTTATTTTTAGTTAGCACATACCTTAAACACGTAAAGCTGTAAGCTAATGATTGTTATATAAGAGCAGACGCACGCTGGTGCAATAAGCTGTACGTTTTACGTCCAATGGACACATGATCTGATTAGTCGACTAAATAGCAAAAATAAGTGGTGACTAGCCAACTATCAAAATAATCGTTTGTGGCAGCCCTAAAATCCAGCCCACAAAAATACAAATGTGTGTGGCACATTTATCCTGGACTGATACACCTCTGAACAAAGCTCAGACTGTGACGATACCTGTTTAGAAACCTGGTCTTTCTCTTGATCCGAAGATGACGAACAAATCCTTTTTTGTCCTGGATTGTCTCTTCGATTTTTCCAGTTATCGGACTGAGCATGTTTAGCAACCATACAAGACTCGCTATAACGCAATCGCCTGACACAAACATCAGCCATCTCGCCAAACAAAACCAGGAACTGCTGGAACAACTCGCCTGACACGACAGCTGTTTAATAGAGTGTAACTATAACTAGACTTCTTCCAAAGGATTTACCATAATCCAAACTGGGACTGGAAAAACCGTTCTGCGATACACTCCTATAGAGGACAACGGAGAACTGTTAAGCACCTAATCAAGTTTGCCTGGACACGCTAAGGAAACTCAAAGTAGTTTTTCACGGGAAGAAAGCAACAATGAGTTAGGAGGCGCTGGTCGGTAAGTTAGAATAAGGGGGCGGAGTCCTGAGCTTGGCTTGACAGGTCTGTCATGGACAGGTATAGTTGGTTACGCCAAGGAAATTCCCATAGTAAAACACTGAAGTTAGAAAAAGAACTTGTTTTTGTTCTAATAATCACGTTTGATTTAAAATAGGACAGTGTGCGTGAAACATCAGATTTTACTGCCAGTTTCTTCAGGTTTCACTCAATTTTTGATCTTCTTGTTTTTAGGAGGATTTCAGACTGGACCTTGGAGTCACTCAGACACACTGGCCGCTTTTAAAGTTTTTACTCAAAATAGCACTGTTAGTGTGAAAAGTAATACAAGACCTGAACCTTGGAGTTTTTTGACGAATTACATGTCTGCACCACAGGTTCTAATGAAGCACCACAGGAATCCCTGGGAGAAAACAAAGAGGTAAATTAGTAAACACTCCATCCTTTTTCTCTCTTTTGCGTATCCTCCTAAGGGTTGAGGGGGGCAGGAGCCTAACCCAGCTGTCATAGGGCGAGAGACAGTGTACACCCTGGACAGGTACCAGTCTAGTCTACCATTTTCACAAATCTACCACTGCTATCAGTTTGTGACTTACGGTTCAGTCTGTGGTGTGGGCAGCGTGGCTGAGGCTTCATCTTGAAACACTTCGAAGCGCGACACCTGAAACACAAGCAGAAAGTCTTTAACTTCTGTACCATATTGTCCTCCTTAAAATCTATGTATGTTATGTTAATTACACTTGCAGGCAACAACTCAATGCATTTATTTATTTTGTATGTCTTATAATTTAAGTGATCTACTGAGATTTTCCTACACAACCATCTATGGTTTACAGAGAACGGCCAGGAACCGAGAAGATATCCAGTGAGTGGTAGTTCTCTGAAAAGGTCTTTGATGCCAGAGGAGAACATCAATAATGGTTTGAGTTGAAGGGAAAGCACCATTAACTCAAATAACCATACAGGTAGAAGAGCATCTCTGAAACAGCAGCAGAAGACCACACTGGTAGCCACGCACATCAAGATTAAACCAATTTCAAACTGGTTTCTTGAACATGACAATGGGCCTGATTTCCAAACAGTGTGCACAAACAAATGTGTGCAAATTTGGAGTAGGAAAGTTTTATGCAAAAAAAGAAATAACAATAATAACGACTTTATTTTTATTTGTCGTTATTACTTTTGGTCATTTACAGTTTTCCAAAACACCACAGACTACAAAATGCTCAGAATTACAAAAAAAAAGCTTGTAAAAAAAAGCTAAATATTACTTGGAAAGGTGTAAGCCGGGGGGCTGTGTTTTGGATAAAGCAAGTGTCTTGTAGTGGAAAGAGACAAATTATGAGGGACATTTCTAAAGGGAAAAAAATCCCACAAACCTTAAAGTGCACTTGAAAAGCTCACACAA